TTCTCACACTCATAAGTAGATGGTTCCAATATACTTTTAGTACTCATGAACGATTTTGATTTTTTTAAACTTTTATTAGTATAAGTAAGACGCTATGAAAACTATTTCTATAACTATTACGCATTTTATACTACTATTCCAACAATAAGCTGTAACTACCCTTTTTATAAGACAAATCCTGTTCAGCAACTTATACATCTGCCTGAGCTGACCTTGAAAAGGTACTGTTGTGCTCTATCGTAAAAATGAAACTCTAAGAAATTGCAGAAAAAAAAGATATTTCCACAAGAAAAGGAATTTTAGCATTCCTTGTCAAGATTGTTTACTGTTCAGAAAAAATTAAAAATACAAATAAATTTTAAAGAATATGGCTTTATGATATGTGAAAAAAAGCGAGAATATAACAACGAACACAGAATATTTTCGCTACATTTTTTTAATAGCGCAATTAAAAATTGGATTTGGAATGCCTTAGCAACTCCACATGCCATGTCGTCGAAGTGTCGCAATCTGCACACTTTCAGGTATAGGAACAAGTATCAAGTAACATAAAATCATATAATCATTACTTATTTAATATAAAAAAACTACAACAAACAGAAAAGATAAATAAGAAAAATATTAAAAATCACATCGTATCGCATCAAATCGCATCGCGTTGCGCGGCAGTCACATGAAACAATCTGCGCACGGGGTTACATCTTAAAACTAAAAATTATATCTAAGCATTTGGCACGCTAACTTATCTTCTCATACATATATTTGTTGTAGGTTTGTAATTACAGTGATGGCATATACTGACAATTACGTGTTGGTGATGCATGTGTCTTTGCTGTATCAAGTCGTTCAGATACATTTTTGAACTGAGAGTACAAGCCTCTTAATTAAAAAAAAACTGCAACAATTGTTGGGAGTTAAAATAATTTTTAAATACATAAACAGAAAATAATTGAATGTATGATTTCTAAAATTATAATGTGCACTTTAAAAAATTAAATAAAAAAATTATATATATAAATTTTTTAATTTTATAGTAATTTAATAAAATTTACAAAACCATATTAATTAAAAACATACAAATCGATAAGTGATGATTATTTTTGAACAAAGACAATCCCAAAAATAGTGTTAGATAAAGGTATATTCTTCAGATAAAGTTTTTATTAGTGAATCGCTATTCATTTTAGGATAATTATTATGCAACTTATTTTTTTAAAATTTTAGGGGAACCTATATATATTGTTATTATAAGACAAAAGGTTTAGCTTTATAGTAATTGAATTTCTTTTTTTTAATTTTATGCAAAATGGGAAAAATAATAAATTTAGTTGTCATTATTATTATTTGACCTTTAATTAAAAATAAAAATAAAATTTTATATATTTTTAATTTTATTTCTCCGGCATTTTAAAGCTATATCACCTTTGTGGATGTATATAATATATAAACACGTGTGTATAAAATATAGGTAATGCACATGCAAGTAGCTATATACGCTAACTTTCATACAAGAACTAAGCACACGTACATGTACTTTAGAAATTAAACACCGCTATTTTACTGCAGTTTTATATTTTACAACACTATTTTATCTTAAAATATTTAGTAAAGAGTTTTTTTTGACAAGTAGTGAACTACAACAACAGAAATTCTTTTAAATATTATTTTTATTAATTGAATATTTGGCTGACCATACAGCTGTGTCGGGTACTGCCAAATACCCATCATCAGTAGTAGTCTTGGAAATAATTATTGTATTTAATTATTCGTAAAGAATTATTTTTGAGACTTTTCTTATATTAAATATGATGTTTTTTTGAACTACAATTCATATTCATTTTTCAGCGAAATCCACTTCTCATAAAAAAATTTAGCTTTATTGAGTAGATAAATGATTCTATATGCAGGAAAATTAAATTAAATTTAATTTTAATTAAATTGAAATTATTTTAAAAAGTTTATTTAAATTACATAACATAAATTATTATTAGGGTGATTTAAAAGCGGTTGAATTCGAATTCAATATATTCTAAAGACTTTAAATGATAAATAAACACCTGCTTCGAAAATACTAAATCAAAAAAGATTATTATGTACAAAAATGTAATTAAATTCACGCATAATTAATAATAAGTATAATATAAGGAGTAAAAAAAAATTGATTCAGCAATATATAATTAAGAATAAGAAGTATTTTAAATTGTTTTAATTATACCGATATAATATGAATGAAAGAGTTACGCTCTTTCTAAGTTCTAAAGTTATGAAAGTAAAACCAAAAGCAGTTAAAAATCATTTAGATATTAAGTGTTTATAGTTTCAAAAAATGTGAGAGATAAGAATTTTTATAAAACCTAATATTTTCTTGAGGAAATTGTCATAATGGGATTCAAAAATCAATTATTTGATATACACAATCATTGCCCAGACATGGCAAGATTAAGACATTCCTTAAGATCTATAGAAATTTTCTCGAGTTCATACAGTTTTTCTAAATTTTCATAAATTTTTTTTTTGCGAATCCCAAATTCAAGCCTTTATGAAAATAAACACCTAACTTCCTAAAATTGTAAAAGTACTGCTTAATAAATCCTTACTATAAACTAAAGTGTGGATTAAAGTCAGGAATGATGTGGATTTTTTATGTCACCACATTAAATATTCTATATACAAAATGATATATGAATAAAGAGCAAGAGTAATTATTTAGATTATGTAGTTTATAATGGCACCATATAGAATAATTTTCATAAAAAAATTTCCATCTCAAGCAAAGGCTTGAATAAAACCGAGAATACTCATTTGAACGCTCAATTAGCATGGTGTAGCTGCATTCTTCAAAAGGTTTGTATTCATCTGAAATGACAATCTAATAGAGGCCGTTCTGAAAAATTTGGAATTTATAATGATGCTATATCGAATACTTTGATTAAAATCGAGAAGAATCAATTGAAATGGACGTCATATCTAACAACTTAGCCTTCCTTATGGTTTTATATGAAGTATTCTTAATAAAGGTTTGTATTTCGGGACGTTTAACGTTCAATTGACTCAAGAACTGGAAATCACGTTTTATTATGAATATTATTCTATTATGGAATATTTCTCATAGAGACATATTTGCATTTCAACTGAAATGTAGATTAAAATAAAAAACAGTCAATTAGACATCATTTTTAAGTACTTGGCCTTTCTCATAGTTTTACATAGAGTATTCTACATAAAGGTTTGCATTTCAAGACGTATAAAATTGGTTTAAGTTTTTAGATTGCGCGTTTAAGCAATTATAAACAGATCAATTATTTCATGGATAAAAATCTTTAGTGATGAAGCTCATTTCTAATATAATTCTATATGAAGGTTTGCATTTGAAGGCATATTTAATTCATTTGACCAAAGAATTAATCATTAATGCAAGTTAAAGCATATTTAATATATCATGAAGAATTGATATTAAATGATGAAATTCGGTTTTTATAACATAGTGTTGTAAATAATAAAAACGATTGTGTTTAATGTGAAAAAAATTACAAAAAGACGTTTACTTTATAAAATCAATTATTTGGCGTTTTGTATATATAATAACAATATATAATAATAGTATGAAATAATATTCTGACAAAGTTGTTTATACACAATATGTATTATATTCTATTTTACATAGTAAAACCTTTTTGTATTATTTATATATTATATATATATATAGAAAATATATAAATATATTCACTACTGTTCGAAAAACCTCTTTATTAAATACACTAGTTTCTATTAAATATAATTATTTCCATTTGAAAAATTTGACGTCAAATTACAACTTATATTCACAAAATATTGGTCTCGCCCGTGCGACTCTTGGAGTAATATTAGCACACTTTCTCAGTATTACATTTCTAGATTAGGTTTTATACATCAGAAAGAATATATAAATCATGCAAAATAATGCTTCTACAAACAGAATACTATTGAAATTTAATAATTAAAAAAAAAAAATATAATTAATTAAATCAATTATTCTACAGCTGGTTTATGATTTCGTTCTAATATAAACACAGCAATTGAATTTGTTAATAAAACTCCAGAAAAATGTGCGAACATTTTGGACTTTGTACGGTTTTGGTCAGTTGGTTAAGGAGCGCTGACTCTGAGCTTCAAATTTGGCAGGGTAGAATTTCGAGTATTGTTACTTGCAGTCTCAAAAAATTATTCACGAATAATTAAATACAAAAGAGATCACTGATGACGTATATTTTGTGATACTCGAAGCAGCTGTATGGTCAGCCAAAAATTCGATTATAAATAAATTCGATAAATAAATAATATAAAATGATTTTTAATCTTCACTACTGTTCTAAACACCTCTTTATTATATAAATATATAATATAATATATATGCATTCTATGTGAAAGCATATATAAAAACAAGAAAAAAATATTTTCATTTTTTAAAATATATTTTTTTTTTAATAAAAATGTAATATTTGGTAACCATAAAAATGTATAAAGTTAACTTCCCTTTCGTTACACAAAGCGGAACATTTAGTTTTTTAGTGCTAACAAATCAACTTAGTGCTGCAAAACACGGAACTATAATCGAACCAGTACTGATATTTTTCAGATTATGGTTTTTATAAATAAAAAAATAAATGCTCATATCAAGGGAAATCAGTTTATTGCAATTTTAATGACTCACTGTTTTTGTTGTTTTTTTTTGTTTTTTTTTTAATTTAAAAATAAATAAATATGTAAATATTTGTTTATACGATTATTAAGTCTAGTATTTTACTTAAATTTTTTAAGTTGTTATTGTACGTAATTAAACAGTTATGCATATATAGTAATGTGAGAAGTATATATATGAAATCTGTTGTGTTATATATATTTTTTGAATACGCTCCTGACCCTAAACTTTATATATATAATAAAAATGTTTGTATATATATGTTAATACAAATCTATATGTAATATGTAAAAAAAAAATTTTTAATAACGGAAATGATTACCTTGGTTTGCAATAACAAGTTGGTTCGTTGTTGGTTGGTATTCAATATTTTTGCTGATTTTCTTTTTTCTGATATGGTTGCTTTCATACAAACTTCACTAAGAGTTTTTAGCACCAAGTGGAAATGAGGTTGAAAATGCGATGCTGATACAAATGAAAATAAATAAATCAATAAATAATAATAAAAAACGAAGCTTCAACAAAACAATATTAAGTCGCAAATTCATAAATTTTAAATTCGTTTGAAAACTTGCACATAAAGTAAACTTTTACTTGATTATTTTCTTTCCTTTTCTCTTTTTGCAGTGTGTTATCAATTTACACTTTATTTTTATTATTATTTTTTTTTTTAAATTATTTCACTTTTTGTTTGCATTTCTTTTTGTAATTTTGCAAAAATTAATTTTCTGTATTTTTATCTTTTTAAAAAGCACTTTTATAAAGCACTATTATTAAACAATATAAACAAAATTGATTTTTTGCATCCGAGCTTAGTTATAGTAAAATATGTACATATTTTATTATCGATATATATATATATGTCTATTAATATTAATAGAACTAATTATTTTAAATGATTATTTATTTCTATTAGAATTAATTTTTTTTTTATTAATATTTATACGATTGTCATACTTCTCCCTTTAACGGTTATAGAAGATATTTGCGATTTCGAACAAAATAAAAAATAGACTTTGTATCAGCTGTTTTCGGAATGGATTCTTTTCGTAACACTCTGTATTCTTTCTCAAAATAAAAATTAGATTTTTTTTTTGAGAATTCTTTTAAAATTCGCTTTCTTTTTCGTTAAGCTTAAAAAATTTTTGTTTAACACAAAAATTGCTCATGCAGCACTGAAATGCGCGCGCATACACCATTCACATTGGAACTCGTTTTACAACTGAAGTTAACTTTCCACGTAAAAAAGTTAAGCTTGAAAGTAAGTTTTTTCTCTTGGCTTCTGAGTGCTCATTTGCCATAAATTTGTGTTGTTGTCGTTGTTGTTGTTGCCGTGAGATTCTCACTGGAAGTGAAATACATGTGAAACTCTAACGAAAAAGACATGAGTAAAAAACAAAAAAATTAAAAAAGTAGTATATTTTTATCTACTCCCAACTAGGAATTTATCTAATGTGAAATGCAAATAAATATTATTATTTATATATATATATATATAAGTTTTATTTAAAAAAAAAGAATATAATTATCAAATAAACTATGTTTTAAAATAATTCCAATAAGTAACTCAGAGATTCTCTTATATTTCTCAACTATTTTTTGGAATAAAAATTATCTTCTAATCTTGTAGCCCAGCGGCCTTGCGAAGAATGCACATTTAAAAATATGCGCTTTCAAATATATTTGTATGTGTGTGTGTGTGTGTGTAAGCATGGTTGATCTTTGTACAGGGATCAATCATTTTAATTATCAATGTGAATATATTTATTTGTTTCATTTTAGTGATTTTTAGTGTTTTTTTACATTTTAACTCCTATAATATTATTATAATGTAAATTTAATACTTTTTTATTTAATTATTTTTTTTTAAATAAATTATGTAAAAAAATTAAGTTGAAAAATTTAAAAAAAAATAAAAAATAGAAGATGGCCTACAAATAGACAAATATAGTGAAACTTCCATAAGTCTCAGTACTATTTTGTAAAGAAAACGTTCGATTTATGGAGATTTCGAGTTGGAGATTTTTTTTTTTTTTTATTACAAAAATTACAATTAAAAATGTTAAACATTTATTTATTTAATTGAAATCAAATACAGCACAGAAATTTAAGTAAAGTAAAATATTCAGAAATTATGGTTGTGGGATTTTAATTTTATTTATCAGTAAATGCTTTGTTCAGTACCTTTGCTTTCATTTATCAATTTAAACCGTTTCGCAAACTCCACTTTCTTTTCCTTTAATATTTCGCCAGATATGAGAATGTTTTGATCGACATTTTTAAATATTGATGTTCTTACTCTTTTATAGCAGAAGAAGTACTAGACTCCAGTAAAGCGATAACTGATTTTTTATGTTTTAAAATCGTTGAAACTGTACTTGCTACGATGCTATTTTTCGCAGCCATTTCTTTTTTTTTTTTGACACACTTTCGACATCCTTAATTAGTTCAAATTTTTGATAATCAAAAGCGACTGATTGATTATCAAAAATTATTATCAAATTGATAATCAAAATCGAATGGTGTTTGTGTAAAGAAGTAACATAATAAAGAAAAAATTAAACATTTGGTTTGTAAAAAGGGACTTCTCCTAACAAGAAAATGCATTCATACTTAAAACAAAAATTCGACTTATAGAATTCACTTTCCCATATTCCTATTGGCACGTGACAATACTTTTATTCAATTTGTAGAGAAATATGAGTTATGGAAGCAGAATTGTATGGAATTTGCTCTCTAAAACCTGTTGCTCTGTTTTTCGTTCGACCCATTATTTTGAAAACCCCTTGCAAAAAATACTACAAGTATACTACAAAATAGAATCATGCTTGCAATGAAACCAAGTTTTCGCTTTTATGACTTATAACATAATGAAATTTGCATGGAAGCCGATGAAAATACGATGTATACGAAAAAAACCAGTTAGACTGATGAAAAATCAAAATATTTTGATTTCCATCTTTCTGCTTGTCATTCCTGCAAATGTTGCTATTACACATTAGACTTGGCAAAAATTCAAATTGTGACGTACCAAGTCAACAGCCAGGAATTATGTGTAATACTTGTTTAAAACTAAGAGTGTTCACGTATTCATTATTGTACTTCGTTAAATCATACACATTATATATTCTTTCAGGAAGATATGCTAGGGTTTTACCTATAGGTCTGTAAACTATTTACAGAATCCCCTTTGAATTCCCCCTTTGAATAACTCTTTTTCAGTAGTCAACGGAGCTCTTGTTACAATAGGTCATCCAAATGGTTACAGGCATTATTAAGGAAAGATGCTCTAGACACTAATTCGGGAAAACAAAGCAAAGAAGAAGAACAACAAAATGTTTTTGTTAAATAATGGACAATCGTATTATTTTCTGATTAGGTTTACGGAGCCATTACTTTAATATTTTTAGGTTATAACAATTGTAATTGAAATTAGTTTTTTAATAAGTCAAACCTTGAGCCTGATTATGAAAGGAATGCATTATTAAAACTTGAGTACCTTTTAAATAAGACTAAAAAGTTTTTACTGTATAACAAATAATAAAAAAAACAAGTAATATTTTTTCATAATATAATATTATTGTTTATTTTAAATAAATTTCGTTTTAAGATTAAAAATTTTTTAAGTTAAATTCTTGAAAAATCATCTAATTATTTATCTAAGTATATTTCTCACAGAGATGTTTTAATTATAATTTAATATTTTTATTCAGTATTTTACTTTATATTTAAAGCATTTTCGTGTTATTAATATATTTAATTTGATATTTTCGATAAAATTCAAATAGTTCAATATATAAATATATTATGCTCTTAAAGTGACATAAATTTTTAAGTGTTATAAAATATTTAAAAATTTTAACGAATTCGCAAAATGTTAATGAAATTTTAATATGTTTTTAATATAATAATAATTAAAATTTTCTGCAATATTTTTTTAATTTATTTTTATGTATGTTATTTTTGTTTTAATATTTGAAATATCAGTTTTACTGTGTAAATTTATTTGCTCGACAAATTTAAAAATTTTCTAAAATATTTAAATATTAATGCGTGTATGCATGTGTAGGTGTGTAGGAAAATTCCCTTAAATTATAGGTAATTTTTTAAATACTTGTTTAAAAAGTATAATTTAAAAACTATTTTTATATATATTGTTTATTTAGTAAATTAATTAAAGTGTGTGACTAATCAAAAAGTAGCCAAATTTAAAATTACTTCAATAAATTATTCTAATAAAATTATTATATTGTACAAAATTTATTTTTTATTCTTTATATATTATATATTATATATTATCAGTTTCAAAGCTTATTTCAACTATATATGGTAAATTAATTAACAATATATCATATATATACATATGTATACATACATATATTGTTAAAAAAAGTTAAAGTAAATTTTTAAAATTTTTTACTTTATATTTAATTTCAAAAATTAACTACTCACATTTTCTAAGGCAATTTAAATGTTTTTTTTTATATAAAATATACAGGGTATTTTATTGATTATGATTTCCAATTATCTAATGCAAGGAGTTTATGGATATCTATAGGATTTAAGTGAATTAACACAGACTAAGTAAGTTTTTTTCAATATTAATTTTATAGCAACCTTTTAGGAATGGGTTTTCCTATAATTTCAGATATTTATAAGTTAGCTTCATTCAGTGTTGGTAAAAGAATATTAGACTAAAATAGTTTCTCGAGTGTAAACCATAGTTAGAAGCTTGTTTAAGAAGAAGTGATTTCAGTCTTTTTCTTACCTTTCAAATATTTTTCACATCTTTTTATACAACTAAGTGAATAGAGTATAGACCATTGAACTCCTTACTTTAAGTATTCTAATTTGTTTTAATATAACTAATAAGCATTAATTTTATTATACCCTGTATCAAGATGATAGAAATAGAACAATTACTTTTACATCTTTTAAAAATTATATATTGTATTAAAAATTACGTTTTGATTCTTATAGCTTACATTAAATACGTAGTTTGATTATGTTTATTAATTAATTTTATTTATTTATTAAAGCCATTTTGTTAGTTTTTTGACTTAGGTTTGATTATGGGACGATTTTATATACAATTGTAATATATGTATATAGCTTTATGTGTTCAATTGAATTGCTGTGGCAGGAAAAATTTTAGTCTGTAGTGCAATAAAATGGACAAAGCTAATATCTATTTAAACGAAGAACGGAGTATCCATAAAAGGCAATTGTTAAATTAAATTTATATATAAAACTGCGTTTTATGTCAATTTGTTTTTAGTTATGACATAAATAATTTTTTGTCTGCATTCAATTTTTACAAGATATTTTAAATAATAAATAGAAGCTTAATAATACACTTTAAAAAATAACTAGTAATTGTTATAAATAATTTTCTACAATATATTCTGCATTATAAAAAAAATGCATTTGTTGCATTCCTAATTTTTTTCCAATAAAACTTTAGTTTTTTTAAACATTTCGAACTTTGTCTATATGCTGAATCTCAAAAACAATTAATTTTAAAGCTAAACTACCAAAATTACGAGTTAGACGATTTAAAAGTAAGGTTAATCCAGCCCATGCAAATATGTCGATATCCATTTATATCGAAAGGACACAATTAATTTTTTTCTTTAGTTTTTAAATTTCGGTAAATTTTCTCATAAAAAATATTTGATATTGAATAAAAATACTGATCTTAATTGCTCATAAAATTCATAAAGTATTTCCATAAAACTTTTTATAATACAAAATTAGCTAGCTGCTATTTCTGACACGGAATTAGCACGTCTTCTCTTAGTTATTTGCTTCCATAAACGACGATTTAGGGAGGGTTTGTCCTGCAAAGAAAAAAATATATAAAAGTAAATATGAAGTTAGAGTTTCATATTATAAATTGAATTTACATTATCTTTTCTCGGCGACATTTGTATCTGTTTATGTATCGGTGTAGTGCTTGCATTAGATTCACTGAGAGAACTATGTGAACAATTGGGTGAAAGCGGAACTTCGGAATTACGTCGTTTTATGAAATTAATTCTTAAAAAATTTTTAATAATTAAATAAAAAGTTTTTATTAATCAATCAATGGAAATATTTGTACTTACAATTTGCTGCCCTTACCGGATTCCATAAGCGCAGTTTCATCTCGTCCAATTTTGCGTACTCGCAAATTTGTACTGTCAACTGTTTCATTCACTGTTCCGCCCATCGAAGTAATACTCGTCGTCCTCATCAGTTGAGGATTGTTCAAGTATTCTTTGCTCTTCGTTAACATTGTTGAGGTCTTCGTCGTCATTGTCGCCATCTTCACTTGTGAGCCACTCCTCGATTGAGACGTGGAGTATATCATCTCTTGTCTCGCTAAGATTTCGAGATCGCTTAATTTGTTCTCGCCTCTGTTGTAATTGTAATTTTTGTTGTTGACGTCTCCTCTTTCGTTCACGTCGGTGTTTTGATCCACAGATGCAAAATTGCTCCATGTATTTCGATTTGGTTGCAGGGGTTGTGGAGCTTCTCCTACACGAGCTGAACCACCCAGTCCGATTTGTCCTGTGCTGATCGGTCGTGGGCGACGGTTCACTGTTGGTGTATCGATCTTCGAGTTTCGCTGTTGTGAGAACGATATTACAGCTTCTTTTGGCTGTATGCGATTCGTTGCTGAACGATGCAATAAATCTCGACCCGTCAGACGATGATATGTTGAGAGGTCGTGTCTGTAATAATAATGAGATTATTCGTAAAAATGATAATAATAATTAAAGTTAATATATGTCGCTGAATAATTTATTTATTCTGATGAAATTTTGAAGAAAAGTTATAGTCAAAAATTTTTTACTTTAAATCAAATGCAATGAGGTTTTTAAATATGTGGTCATTTCAGGCATTTAATTTGTATAGCTGATAAAATATATGATCAAATCTGATCTGCCTGGCTTCAAAAAAATTGATGCGAAAAATTTCATTAACTCTGTTAGTTACTAAATAAATTTGCGTTACCCAAATGGACAAACGAACGAATATACAGATAGACACATAGAAGTATAAAGAGCTGAACAGATAGAAGTACAGATCGACAGATGATATAATGAATGTACAGTTTAAAGGAAAAACCGATTTATCCGATCTAAGTAATATAATTTATATATATATTTCTAAAATAGGGTCAGTAAACTTTTTTAAACTTTTCGTTTTCTTTACTTTCAGTAGTGTTGTGTATTATTATATAGTATATATTCATATATTTTACATTCTTCAGTATTTTTAAAATATAGGAAAAGTAGTGAGAATATCTATTTTTTAAAAAAGGTGATAATCGCAGGGTGCGAAATCAGGTGAATACCCAGACTGGTTGAATTTCAATAGAGGTTATTATTGTAAATAAACAGAACTGAAAAGTACTAATTTATTAAAGTATGAACGGACAAATCAAGCACAAACATACATAATTCATTACTAACTGTATTAAAGCACTGCTTTTACCTATGTCTAGTAGACTACTACTATCTACTACCGTGGTCACATTTCATATGGGAAAATTACCATATATTTAATTATATAAAATAAAACTTAAGTTACTGACAAAAACTAAACCATTTATAATAAATAATTTTTATATTATTACCCCAGAATCGTTGTTAGATCTGGTCCAGGATCGTAACTGATCAAGTCTTCGTCGCCTAGTATATCGTGATTGAGTGCTAAACGCATTTCCAGTCTTGGACTTAAACCGGATCCAGCGTGCTTTAGGGCAACTTGCGAGTCCGAACATTTTTCTTCTTGATTTTCTTTCGCTTTGTTCATAGTTGTTGCCTGCTGTTGTACCTGCTGTTCTGTTTGGACTAATTTCCGATCTGCCTTCATTGTCGAAACTGTTAGTGATGAAGTTGAGGTTGTTTGTTTGTCTAATGTCCCCAAGAGGGAAGTTTCGATTATTGTTGACGAGAGTCGTTTTTCTTTTGGTGCGGTATTTGTGATATAATTTTTGATATTGCAGGCAGCCATGGTGTTCCTTGTCATCGTTGGTAATGTCGTCATTGCTGTTGTAGTAGTTTTGTGGCTGTGGATACCTGTAGCAACGTTGCCTACGCCTTTGGCATCCACTGAAGAGCCAATGTCAGCAAAACCTCCAGACTTTTGTTGATGCGGTGGCTACAAAGAAGAAATTGTATAGTTTTTATATATTATTATTTTTTAAATTCAAATTACTTTTCAAGTTTTAGAAACTACAATAGATTTATTACGTCATTATATTATTGAAATATAACAAAATGATTAATTTTTTTAAGGCTCTGTAAGTAGTGTCTACACAAATTCTACAAACCTATCGAATATTCTTTGTAAATATCAAATATTTTATTTATTAAAATATTTAGACCGGTATATACGATTTGAAAATCAGGTCTAAACAATTTAACACCCCACAAGGAATGACATCTTATTCTCATTTACTTAATGCAAAAATTTTATTATAAAATGGGATCAGAAACATTATATGCATTATATATATTATGTTATATAAAATTTCAAATTCATTCTGTTAAAAAAGAATCCGGCATATATTTCTTGAAAAACGTGCGTAAGGTGTACCGTAAATTTGTAACATTGTCTTGCCTTTATTTACCAGATTTGAGCATGATGAGCTTGTGTCATTATTATGTAAGAGTTATCATAAAAAAACTCATTGGCCCCGGTTTCTAATTCAGGGCGTTCGTTTTTTTGAATGATTTAAAGGCTATATTTTAATAAGCTTACTGAAAATGTATCGGTGCTTGGGTCAAACACTGATATAGATGGACTGCACTGCCTTTTTTTATAGTTCCGAATATTTTTTACACAAAATATATTAACAATGCATTACAAAAGATATATAAAGTAAATAGAAAATTATTTCTATATTTTCTATATCCGACAAAGAATGAATAGTAAATCTGAAAGGTTTTACTATAAATTTTAGGATAATAGCGCTTACAATACTATATATTTTCTATAAAATCTGTTATATAGTTATATACTTATATATGTACTTACTATTTTCGTTGTATCGCTGCCACTCGTCTTTAAATTTGTCTGTGTTAGCAGCAGTCGACGTGGTGGCGGCGGCGGAGGTATGAATTTCGCCTGACGTACAATTGTTATGGATGCGTTGGTTTTGGAGGTGTATTCTGTGTTGTCTTTGCTGATAGTGACGTTCTCGTTCTTGATTGTTGTAGAAATCGATGAATGAGGTTGATTCTTCAGCATCGTTTGATTCACTGTCATGGAAGTAGTGTTCGTCAATGTTGTTTTCGTAGTTTCTTCGATTACTTTCACCGGCTTGTTGTTGTTGGGCATATCTGTCGCTAGATTCGAGTTGTTGCTGCAACTGTTGCTGGTCTGCAAAGCCACAACTGAATGTTGTTCTAAGAGGTACTCGCAGGATGATGCCTTCAGCACAGCTGGAGGTATTTGCGTGACATGTGGACTTTGTAAAGGACGTGGTCCCAATACTGTCGTTTGCAGATGTGGTTGTATGCGTTCCTCCATAGAAGTTGGCTCCTCCTCCTCCCCATCCATATCGTAATCCTCCTCGTACTCGTTCGCCAGATCCTCGTCGCTTGAACTTCCAGCTGAATCCTCTAAATCGTGGCCATTTGTCGTTGTTTCCCCCTACCAATTGTTTGGAATAGAATTCAACTAATCAATTCTGGTTTAAAGCGAGCTACTTTAATTGGGTTGCGCGTTGCATAGCAAACGATATCGATAGCTGTTATTTTTAAAATTTTTGTTGTGAAGAATTGAAGTTGAAGGATGGATGTTCTGATTATGTGTTTTAATATATGTTTGTTTGCATTGTGTTGGTGAAATGGCATCCTTAATGGTTTTAGCATTAATGCGAGCCATAATTTTGCAAATTTTTTTGAATACTTTTTTTTTTGTTTGTATGCGGCATCCACATTTAATATTTATCATTTTTTGATATCAATTATTTGACAATATTGCAAATTGTGCTAGAGCTTCACTAGTCTCACTACGACTTTCTAAAGAACAAATACACATACATACAAGGATATGCAACGTGTATGTTAAACAACAACAAACAAGCAACGTGGCAATAAACAATTTGTGAAGAAAAGATGCAAAAGCAAAGATAAATAAAAAAGAGAAAAAAAAGATGAGATATGAGATGAGTTAGATTACAATGAGATTATGAAGATTAGTTCTAAATAAGCGAGAGAGAAAAAACTCTAAATTATAATTAGTTAAAGATATCATTAAATACATAATAAGTTAGTAAGTGAGTAAGAGTTTACTTAATAATTAAACAATGGTGTTCATATTTAACAGATAATGAATTTACTGACATGCGTTATGTACAAAGTCGACCCACCTTTTGCAACTCTTCACTCTCTTGTTGAGTTTTTTCTTCATCACTTTCAGTCTCCTCCTCGAAGAGTGGTTCTAATCGACGTCTAGTTTGTGTAGATGTTGAAAATGTAGTTTTTACGATTTGGTTGAGAATGAATTGATGATATATGAAAATTTTGAAAACAAAAATATACAGATTTATGCTAAAACTAATGATATATATAATTTGTGTTAGTTATATGTCTGAACGATGTTCTCAATTGTACATTGTACAAGTGGTTAAAAATAAATTCTAATTAAATTTTACTTAAATCAACAATATTAATTTCTATGATGAGTCTATTAAATAATTTTAAAATACACTATTCCTACAAGTTTTACTAATTTACTATTGACTATTATTTAAAAATATGGATTTGAGGGTTTACTTCATATTTAATTTATTCTATTTTAATATAATCAAACAGAATAGTCCTCAACCTGGGTTAGGTTAGGTTAAAGAGACAGCCTTGTGGATAAAAGCATTTGAGATCAAGTTATTGCTCATTGTAATACCATGAATAAGTGTTGTTCATACGCAGAGCAGAAGGGTACGAACAACGCTCAAAAGGCATCATCAATCTAAATATTTAAGGGTTTGACAACCTATGAATGATATATATTGATATCTTACAAACATATTTTAATTAATACAAAGGATCTTAAGTTTTTTAAAAATTCTATTGACTGTGGTATTTTTCCGACTAGTAAAGTAAGAAACAGAAAAAATTTAAAAAAAAAATAAAAATAAAAAACAAAAATATTTAAACATATTTTTTTTTATAATAGTATAGAACGAATTATGATTCGATTAAAGTATAACTACATTATTTTTTCACAAAGTCTCTTTTTTTATTATTTTTCGGAGATGTTCGAAATATAATTAGTTTACGTACTATAATCGAATTATATTCAATTAGTTTTTTCTATAATTTATATAATATTTTTAGTCATAAAACAAATAATTTTTTTCAGTATACTTTTAATGTTTTTCAAATTATAATTTTAATTAAATATTTAAAATTCACTTATGAAAATTATTTAATATCTCATGTAGTTATATTTTAAGGTTTATATTTCAATACGTATTTTTGGAAAGTTATATTATATGATGTACGCATTTATAGTGTTATCAATTTTGTGGCTCCTAAAGTAATAACTTTTTCGATTGGTAACTCTGAGTAATTCTCAATTCTCTCAATTGAAATGAGATACACTTTTAATGCACTTTTAGTGCAATTTTCATTTTGGGTTGGTGAATCTCGATCGAAATGTATAACACTCGAAATTAATTTATAACGCTCTAGACATTTTGCCAGAGTAGCAAGACTATCCAAAAATTAATAGCTGTTTTATATGCTTTGACAGATAAACTGTGATTTGATTCGACATATATGTATATGTATTAGTGAAAAATGTAATTGTTTACTAACACTACTAAAAAATGTTAGATTACTCTAAAAATTATCGATTGGGCAACAAAATTTTACAGATAGGGAGTAAATCTAGATTAAATCCAGATTTACCAATCGCAAACGCAATAAGTTTTAATGAAAATCACTTGTAGTTAAGATTTCGACAAGGTTATGTTTATGTCTAAAATATAACATGATGTTATATGACTTATCTGCGTATAATATGTAATAACAAGTAATAACTTAGAAATAAATTTACAGATGTTCGTTTTCAAATCGTCCGTAATAGTCCGCATAAACAAGATCCATTGCGGAACGCAACGAAGAAGCTCTCTGGTGAAAAATAACTTGAACTTGGTGGTCATTTAGTATTACATGCATGAAAAATTTCCCAGAGCCAAAACAGAAATGTGATTGTGAAACCGTAAAGGTTTTACTTCCATATATTCGATTTATGTTACACGTATTTTTGAAAAAAGTAGGATCAAATATCATACCATGCAGTGACTGTTTTGTGAATATAGTTGTCTTTCATACGATATTTGTGTACTTTATTTGCCCCAGATACAATAATCTTAATAATTTTATCATGCAATATAATCAACATCACTGAAAAAAATTCGATATAAAATGTAACGACTACAGAATTATTTCTGAAGTAAGTTATCACAAGTTTAGCATGTTCATCGGTTGTTAAGCGATCCATATTGAAAAATAACTAAATGCAAAATGGCTTGGATGACAGTTTTGATTGACGACATTTTTGGATAAAAGTTATATCACTGAAAGACTATTGCCCAACCAAGAACCCCAAAATCAATAACTCTATATTTCATAACACGTAAAAAGTTGGAGATTATTTTCGTCTTTTATATATAAATATATTAGATTAACTAACTTTATAATTAAAAATCATAATAATGAAACAAAATACTTGAGTAATATTGGTACAAAAGAAGAATAAATACTGATTAAAAATTTGATATTTTTATAAAATTTTATCTTTTGTTTTCAATATTGAAATAAGGCAGATACCAACGTACTCTAACATATATTACAGAATACCAATATTTTGAAACTAAGATGGACAATTTAAAATTTTTCACTAAAAATTAAAATAATTAATATATTTAATAGTCCTCACCGAGTTTTTTCAGTTTGTGAGCAATTGGATGGAAAACGAGTTATTTGATAGTGCGAATATTCCAATTATCTTAATAGTTCCGACTAATCGAACTAAATATTTAGTGTAAATTTAAGTATTCGTATTTGCCGAATAGTATTTATTTATATAGTATGTAGTATAACAATTTTTTTTTTATATTTGCATTATTATTCCTATCTTATGGTTGAATTTTTTCATTAAAAAGTGAACACTTCTAGTTTTATAGTGTGCTTAAAATATTTTATTATAGAATACAAAGGGCCCGATGGTATTAATACACCACTATTACTTTTAAAAGGTGTAAATAAATTAAATCTATCAGCTACTTAAAGGTATAAAACTACTTATTAAACTACCTGCAAAGCGTTACTAAAAATGATGAGATAACATGTACGGTTAATGTTTATTTATAGATTTAATAAGAACCTGTAAAAACTACAAAAGTATTTTGAAAAAGAGAATATAAAAATGTTTTGAAAATTACACATAAAATAAATACTGGGATATTATGTTAACTATAATACTATTGGAACATATTAAAATCTTTATTACTTAAAACAAACTAAAATCATAACATACCGTGGTAATAGTCCGCGTATTGTACTTGCACTCATGGGTGGTGCCATTAAAAGTTCATCCATCATAAGTTCTGTATCATCATCGTCCAATGAATTGCTTGATCTTGTCGGTGACTGCAAACATATTATTATAACAAAACTACTGTTAATTACTTTAATAAAATTAATTCCTACCGAGTGTGTATTCTCCGAGCTTAATAATTGCATATCATCATTTTCGCCACCACTTGTTGGTGTGCCCCAAACTTCTTCGCCAGATGTTGCACCAGAGGTGCATTCATCCATTTGTTCATCGGTTTCTGAGGTAGGTTGTACCTGCGTTTGGTCTTGATTCCAACGACCTAAATATTTATCAATAAAGGCACGAGATTCCTCGAAGAATGACATTCTACCAGTAACAAATGAGCCTGCTCTACTTGTCCAAGCAGAACCATTAGCGGATACACTATCATTTTCGGTATCATACAATGATTTAGTTACGATTTTAATATCATCATCTATATTGTCTACATTATCAGCACGAGCATTATCATCTAGATCTTCTTCACCATCATCATCCAAATCGTCTAATTCACCATCGTCTAATCGATCATCGGACGGCAATTTTTCCAAACTGGACATGGTGCCATAACGGCGTAATGTACTACTCATAGGACGATAAGGTGGTTCCTCGTCTAGTGGTGATTCATCACATGAATCGTCAGGAATATTTTCTAGTATGGCTTGATGTGGTATTTGGTGTATGTGAGAATTTGCAGTTGTGCTTGTAATTTTATTTGTAGAGCTGTTATCCCAAACATTCGTTGAAGTTTTTGTAAGAATTGCATCGGGTGTTGGTGGCACCACTGCAATAGTTGGCAAAAACGTTGCATCACTTGGATTTGTAGATGTTGGTGTAGGTAATGGGGCAGTAGGCATTGCTCGCATATTGAATAATTTTGCAGCTGGTGTAAATTGTGCTAAGCCAATCAACATTAACGACAGATCATCATCTTCATCATCATCTTTTTTAATTTCATTTAAATATGTAGTTCTATTGCCACAAACACATCTACAGTGCTTGTGAGGATCTTCAGTTACAATATTAGTAATTTGTTCCAAAGATTTATGTTTATTTGGCATTTTTGGTGATTGTTTCGGTGATTCTATAAGTCTGCAAGTCTCTTGTTGTATTTCATCTGGACTAAGTGTTGTATTCTCAAAGTCGGCTGGATTACATTCACAATTGCAAGGTGTAAATTGTGATGATCGTGATATTGTACCAGGTGATTTTGGCGAATGAGGTGATTTGGCTATTTTAGGACTTTTGGGACTTTTTTGAAGTGTTGTTGTTGTTGATTTTGATTTTTCAGTTTCATTGTCTGAATCTATTTTAACCACTTTAGCAGTTTCTGCAATAGTAATTGTTGTTTCAACTTTTTGATCTGTAGTAATTAAATTTGACATCGTTTCTTCAACTGTCTGTGTAGTGATTTTAACTTTTCTGTGAATTGGTGCATTTGTATTTCGATGCTTATCCATAAATTTATCATCATTTTCACCACCCGAAGAACTCGAACAATGACCATTCATAATGATTTCTTTATTATTTAGTTTTTCTGTTTCGTTGTCTTCGTCTAAAATTCGTAGTTTACTGATGCTGTCGGTGATCCTGCGTTGGATTTCATCGATTCCGCTGCTACTGCTGGTCGGGATAGCGCCCACGCTAACATCAGTCGCCTCTGATTGAGAGAGTTCATCGGTTATTAATTGAGCAACATCACTTTCAGTATCACCAGTTTCAGGCTTACTACTACTAGCTAATATTTTTGATGAATGTTCACTGGGTTGTTCACCGGTTATTGTGCTTGATGATATACTGGAAGTACTACCTGTACGACTAATATTACCATTCACTTTACAACAACGATTTGGTGAAGATTGACTGTGCTGCACTTTTAGAGAGTTACAAAGTAATGCAGCTGTTTTAGTTGGTGAGGTAGATGAAGGACGCAAATGATGTTGTTGTTGTGATGAATTACCTGATTGTTGACAATTTTTATGACAATGACGACAAACAGCAAGTTTATCTAGTACTATAGGACTTGAGCGCACAGTGATCTAATGATATGAAAATGTAAAAACTTTCACTTTTCGTTTCAATTATGATAATGAAATTTGGTTTACAATATATAACTAAGACTAATGTTATTAATAATAATAATTATAGCAATCAAATTCAAATTGTATCTATTGATTATAACTAACCTGACTATCCGATGTGGTACTGTGCGATTTACTTATCTGACTGACATTCTCTGAATATCCATCACTAACGCTCAGCTCCTCTACACCACTTAGTCTTTTACCGCGTAAATCTCCATTTTGTTTTGCTAAGTTTAGTTCTATGGTACGCTTCTCTAATTGTTGTCGTGTCCAATATGTTATTCTCTCATCATGATCGCTTTCTGGGTATAATAAATGTTCATCTTCTTGACTTATATGATCTCGATGACGTTCTGCTGCTAGACGTGCTTGTTCTTGCTGCTTGTCCAATTGACCTTTCATCCAATTGGCTAAATGTATTGCATTCGATTTAGAGGTACCAGTCTTATTAAGAATACGACATTTTTCATCTATTAACATATCAATCTGATCGGAAGCATTAGAAAGCCGCTTATTCTGTTAAAAATAAAAGATTTTGTTTTTGATACTTAAGGTATGAGCTAAAAAAGTATTTACTTCTAACCGCTGGAGTTTGAGATGAAAATTTTGTTGATATGTACAATGAAAGTTCTTTTAAACTGAAACTGACGGAACTGTCAATATTATCCGGTTAAGCGAAATATTCTTTTAAAAAAATTTACTTAGTATGAAAAATAAAGAGTATGGACTATTGACATTCCACGGATAATTGTCTGTTTACTAGAGCATTCATTTAATAGAGCTTTCACTGTACATATATATTGAGTTGTTGCTTCATATTGTCTTAATAAAAACAGTATATCATCAAGTATAAATTAGTTTAAGATATTAGCACTTTAAACTAATTATTGCAAAATTGTGATGGGCTCATATTTAACTCAAGTTATATTTGTACACTTAAAAGTTCAAATAATAAATATTTAATGTTTTATAAATTGAATTTGTTTTTATCTATTAAAATATTAAAAAATAAATAAATTTCATCGTATAAAGAAAAACTCTACAAATAAAGTATCTTTGATAAAAACGCTTGTTAAACTATTATTAAATAAATTAAATATTTTATTGTTAAAAAAAATGTAGGCTTAAAAGTTAAAATTAATCTTAATATTAACAGAAAAATGGAGTCCATCACAATTTTTTTTAAAGTTTGCGGATATAAGTTTCTAATTAAAATAATCAAATTATATTGTAATCATTATGTTTATATGTTCAAAGGACTTTAGAAAGGGTGGATGCAGTTATGATTTTGAATTTTTTCCATGTTCGATTTAAAAAAAATAAATTTACAAGCGTTTTTATTCAAAGTATTCTTTTATTTGTTAAATATTTAATACTAAAAATTAAAAAAAAAATTAATGCTTTTATATGTATAAAGATTCAATTATAATATCTTAACTATGGTAACGTTTTCGTTTCTATTAATATGATTAGCTTGAGCAAAAGTGATATATATTATTTATTCTAAACTATATAAATCAATTTTAATAACAGTTTTCTATATGATTTTTTAACTATCGTATTGTATATATTTTATGGCTTCATGTGTGTTTTTACAGAACTTATAGTTAATCTACAATAAATATTAAAGCATTTTATTTTGTTAATTGTTGACATAAAAAAATACTGGTAAGTCTATTGGAAGCTTTGTTAAAAATTTGTACTAATTTTAAATAAATATATTTATTTTTAAAATAATACTATTACGATTTAAAAATATAATTTTAATTTATTAAATTATAATTTTACTAAAACTAAAAATATATTATTTATATATAACAAAATTATATAGGAAATACCGTTGTACCTGAACCAAGACACTTTTATCAATTAAATTATATGTGAATATTAATTTAAATTAAATTTAAATCACAATATTTTATATATGTAATTATTCTTCGTTATATTATAAATTTTAGTTACTTTAAAGTAATTTTGTAAATCATATAGAAGTGATTTCAAGTGTTGTTAGTAAATATTAATTAAGTTATAAACAATTTTTAACGATTCTACTGGGGAGTACTTATTAAAGTCCTTACGGCTTCAGATGAGCCATATGGTTAATGTCTTTGTTTTGAGGTGAAAATGTTCATCTCCTGAAATGAAAATATGTAAACTTCTAAAAGTTAATGGAACGATTTGTATTATTCATACAAACTTTAATACTTTCGGTGCCATTGTTTGTGTAAAAAAAGACAGTTAAAAGGGCGTGCTGTGGTTTGAAACAGCTTCAAGTGCATTTTATTTAAGATGTGCTTAACTAAATAATAATGTTTTATACATAAATTAATTGTGCTGAAAAAATTTATAGAAACTGATTTTTTATTTTAAAGAATAATTATTTTGAAAAGATTTAGAAAGTATTAGTTAGTCTGTTTAGATTAGAATGGTTAGAAGAGAAAATTAGATATGTTAGTTGTTCTGCAGCGTAAAGGTACATTTAGGTACTTCAAATATTTTGTACAAACTGGAAAAAGTAATACAACCTGAAGCTAACATACCTGGAGAATACAGTTGGTATGAATAAATGAGTATACTTTATCTAAATAATAAATACATAACGTGTTATATATGTTTGTCAGTTAAAATCTGAGAAAAAGAACAACAATTGCATTGATATATCACCAAGCTGAAAGTATTACTTCTAGAAAGTATGCTATAGACTTTTTAGATTTTATAAAATACCGGAGAAAAATAGATAGGCAAAATCAAATAAACTTTTTTACTAAGAAACCTGCAAAATATATAATGATAACGAACATTTCTTGGGAAGTAGGGTCCAAAAAAATACATATATACATATTGTTGTTGCTTTGACATACTGAGAAATAATACAATGATCTTGACAATTTTTAAAAGACCACGCTTAAAGTATTAAGTGCACTAAGAGACCCTGTTAATAAAAGACGAAATGTCAATATCAATATATATTAATTGTTATATATATAGTATATTGCCGAAATTTATACATCTTAAGTTAAGCATACACAAGTGTTCATCTATAGGAAATAGTTCAAAATTTAAAATGAACATTTAATATTAATAAATATTAATATTCAATATTTAATGTTCAATCTTTTGTTTTATTAATCTTATAGTTATCTAACAAAATGTTTCAATACTAAATTTTCGTAGACATAAATAAAATTATGTTCGAAAAATTATGTTTTAGAGAGGAAGAAACAATATTAGAATGCATTATAAAATCAGTAAATATTGAACAGCCTGATATCGGTTTATTGGAAGGGATAAATAACTGAATGAATTAGCAGAAAGTAAGTTTTATACCCTAATTGATTATTTTAAGAAAGTCTTGTAAAAAGTCTCTAAAAAATGTCAGATTAAAATTACAAAATTATGAAATTTATAATTGCAAGATTGAAAGTGGATCTGTAGTAGTAAAACAATAGGGAACTTGAAATATTTAAACTTGGTTTTCAAAACAGATTAACTCATGCACTGATGAAAAACAGCAAATGTCATGAATAAAAATGTTCAACATATAAACCACATTTAATGAAGAAACGTAGATCCAACATTACTCTCCAAAAATCTCCAAAAATTACTCTTCTAAAAAAATGGGTCGAACAAGCTTAAAGATTTCTGAAGTGGAAAAATATTGCGATATTAGCTGGAAAGGTCATAAATGATTATGGGTCAAAACAATACCGCGGTTCTCACTTTGGTAGTCGCTATAGTTCAAATTTATGTCCTGCATTACAAATTATTGACTCATTCTCCTTATTTGTAACTTCTAACATTCAGAGGATTTGGTTTAAATTGCAATATATCTTGTCAAATGGAGAGGTATATTATAGATTATTAGTAGTAATATAATCATATTAAATTATTGTATTTATAATTTTATATAAAGTAAACTAACTAATTTCTACAATTTGAAGAAATACAACAAAACTAAAAGTATATAAATGGTAAAGTGTAAATAGTACAACGTGTAATAATATCGTGTAAAAGTGAAGTAATTAAGTTAATTAAAACAAAAAACAAAATCTAAATCTACATAAAATTTAATTAAAAATTAAAAACTTTATGTTAAAATAAATTTTATGAAAAAATAATAATACAACTTTATATGTTCACATATGTATGAATATATTCATACATTATATGATATACATATTTATTAAATATTATTTTTAAAGTGTTTAAATAAAAACTATTTAAGAAACAACAAGTAAAAATTTTAAATTATATTTTTAAGAAAAAGATTTAATTATTAAAAAATTTGTAAAATATGTATGCATATATACATATGTATATATATATCTACGTATATATATATTATATATATATTCAATTTGTATATGAATATTAAATACATACATATGTCTATACATATCCATATACATATATATATTATTTATATATTCAATTCATATACAAATTGACAAGTAATCAAAGCGTTATCGGAAAATTCAAAACAATATATATTACATATTTATCGTATATATACGATAAACATGTATTTATATATATATATTTATTATATATATTCTTTATTGTACATAATATATATAATATATTTATACATATAATATATATTATATGTGATATATGTATTAAAATAATAATTTGAGTAATAAATACAAAAATAAAAAATTTTGATTTTTTATGTGAAATTAAAGTTTTTCTTTATATTTTAAAAGTGACATTTAAAAAAAATGTGTGTTTTACTATAGAACTATACAACAATTACGTATTAAATTCATAAAATTTAACAATTAAACAATTTACAATATATACTTAATAAATACTAAATATATAAGAAGAAACTGAATATTATATATTATAAATATTTGGCCAGAAATGGAAGCGCTTTGAAAGCGTCTGATATATAACAATTTATTTTTATAAATTTTACTAAACTACAATTAAATTTTGAATTTTAAGCCGATTGAAATTTTTATTATTGTTTAATTTGTTGGCAACTTAATTAAGCAAAAATAATTATTATTGCCAATTGGAGCTTATAAACTTTTTAATGAACAAATTTAATATATGGTAGACATATGATTACATTAAAATTACTTTGAAATGGCAATTAACAACCGTACATTACATGAGATTTTAATTAATTTTGTTATAATTAACTACTTATACCAACAATTATATACTAAAAGCTATTGAGCTAAATTTAATGTAAATAATTTTAATATTGCTTTAATAAATTTCTTTATATTCTTTTGCTTAAATATGAGCACATCATGCAACGAGGTAGCGATTTCTAAGTTATTCTCTATATACTGTTTATACTATATATTATATATATGTTTAAATATTTTTGTATATATTTTATTACTCATTATATATGCAAGTACGTTGTTATTCATTAGCCACACACGTAGTAACACGTCGAAGTTGAAAAATGAGTGATGACATTGCATTTCGGGGGAAAAACATTTCTATAAACAATTTCGGTGATTTTTGTGGAGAATAAATATGTGAGTTTTTTTTCAAGTGAAAATAAATTTAAAAAAAATTATCTAAAAAGTTTAACTTTACTTTTGAAAAGATGTTTACTAACAATATAAGCTCTTAAAAAATGATTGACCTAAATTTTTTTTTAATTTCTAGTGATAATTTTTGTGAGGAACAACGTTGCAATTTATTCTTAATTATTATTTTAACTTTTAAATTCTAACCAAAAATCAAATCACAGATCTAATGAATCTGGTGGTGTCGGTTTTGTTGGTAAAACTCCGAATGGATCTTCAACTATTGCATGTACATCTATTACGTCATCATCATCGTCATCGTCATCATCATCACCTCCCCTATCATCACTAAAGAAAATACATTCTTCTACATCGGTATCATAGCAGGTATCCATATTGACTTCGTGAAAATTCAAATCAAGCTCTAATAAATCCCACGAACCACCAAATTGTGCTAAAGGTATGTCCCTAACTTTTTTATTGTGCGGTTTTTTTGATTCCTGAGTTTTAATATTTTGTGTTGGCACAAAATCATTGGAGAATGCATCGGAATTGCAATGCTGAGAATTTAGAGAAATATTCGGAGTAGGAGTTTCGGGTGTCGTTAAAGAAGCATTAGCTGAATCTACTGGCAAAGCAATATCCGATTCATCTATAAAAGATCGCCCAACGGAGCTTAAGGAGAATTCGAGTAATTTTGGGGATTTCGTATTGCCGCCCACACAAGCAGTTTTATCTTTAACTGTGTTGCCATTCTCATTACGAGCGGAAATTGAAGTTGTTGTTGTAACACAACAACGTCCGTCAGCACCAATGAGCAAAAGACGTTCATCTCCATCAGCACATCGTTGATGTACAACTAAAGTCTTTTGTTCATTATTCGTATCGTAGACTTCAGTTGCAGCTTCTGGAATGGCAGTTAAGCATTTACAAGAGGGCAAGTGATCACTGGAGCAAAGTGTTTGAGTATTTATACTACTACCGCTTTGACTAAGTAAATTACTGGAATTATTAGCACTTACATTATAGGCACGTGCGGCCGAAAGGGGGCGCGAATCGAGCTGTTGTGTTAACATATGCCGTTTACCAAACGCTAGTGAACGCAGAGATGTAACACTATCTGTAAGCATGCCACTACCACTAACACTGCTACCAGCAACACCAGAACTTAGTAATTGTGTTTGACGTGCTGGTGAAGCAGTTTGTGATGAGCAGGAGGCATGTGTCGCTTGTGTTATGCGTGTGTTACAACGTGAGGCTAAAGTGCTTGCAAGCCGCTGCAGATTCTCATATGAATCGCTGCTGCTTATTATTTTACTATGTAGCAGACGCACCTGTTGCTGGTTCTTCAAATTAATACTATCCATGGACGAAAGTTTTATTGAACCGATCGATGTGGTAGCAACACCTATATCACTAAGTGGTACAAGTGTGTTGAGCACATCTGGTGAATCTAAAGGACTAGACAGTGGTGTTGACCCAAGTGCAGCGTTAACAAGGAAACTGTCAAATGAACATAGATAATAGATAAATTTGTTTATATATTGAATTTATAAAAAAATTTGTTTACATACATTTGACGTTGTAACAGATTTTGCCAAACAGCTTTCAATTCCAATGACGGTGCACGCAGTACTAAACTCTTTCTTCGTGCGCCTTTTTTGGGTGTACGTGCTAAGTCAGGTGCACAATATCCGGTTGGACTTTCTGCTAATCTGCCATTTGGATCTACTGTAAGACGAAACTCAGTAGCTAAAATAAAAATTTATGAACATTTTTATAGTGTAAATAATTGATATAAATATACTTTTCTTTCGCATATGAAAACATGAGTCGACAACATTAGCAATTGGTATAGGTTCTTCGGTGATGAAAAGCACACGATCTCGACTTACTTTTGCGAAAACGATTATATCACTAAACAATAAAGTCCAGTAAGGTTTTACCGATCGACCTTCTACACGTGATAAGTCACCGCCGAAAATCCATTGTCGTCCTTGCACTGCTAGGGTAAATGGCTTACATTTCGTAAACACCATACGAGATTCTAAATCTTGTAAAGTTAAAAGTGGTCGACCCTCTCCTAGAGGTTCCATAAGGCCACTGCTGACAGTAATTTCTCTGTAAGCTGCTTGCAATTCGTTTATGACGCTACTAAAATTCTTATATTCTTCAGTATCTACATGACAATTGGACGCTAGCATTTGCATAAGTTTTAGTATTTCGCGGAAATGTTGAAGTGGTCGATGTATGAACATTGTTAGATCTGGACGTTTACGTGGCACATGAGGCTCTGTTATAAATGTAACAAACTCGGAACCAGTTTGACGTGATTTATTCACCTGAGAATATAAAAGATTAAAAGAGATATTAAAGTTGTGATGTTATGTTGTATATTATAAAAATTGTATAAAAATAATTACTAAAGAAATTATTATATAAATTGTTATAATATGGATAAATACAAGCGGTATTCATGATGTCATAAGTTATAAAGTCAACAATAGATTAACATAGTAACATAGATAAGCGGTAATAACAAAATATATTTGCTGGATATATAATTTGTTATTGAAGACTAGTACCTTTAGTTTGTTATTTGGTTACCGAGCAAACTACTTGAGACTGTGAATACCGCTATAGTATTGTTACTGTATAACCAGAGCTGTGCAAATTCAATTACATTACAAATTCAATTACAATTACAGAGTAATTATAATTGATAATTGAGTTTGCAGCTTACAAGTGTAATTATCATTGAAAACTCCAATTACAGTATGAGTGACATAAATGTGAGTAGTAGCTCATATAATAATAACGTTATATAAAAAATAACTCAGTTCTTTAAATATATATATAAAATATATTCAGTAAAGTATATACATATTTTTTTTATTTATTATTTTCGTGATAAATTTTAAGTATATTAATTAAAATTTCATAATATTGTTAAATTTATTTTTGACAATAAATCGAATTATTACATACCAATACGCAGTCAGCTCTCTTAATGCCATTGCAGTATTTTTTGTAAGCAGCACAAATCGCTGTTGTTTTCGATAAATAGACACGGGAAGCAAAATTCATTTGAGGCTCTTGATCATCACTACATAATTGTTCCAAAATATCTTCGGAAATGCGTAAAAGTTCATCGATATTTTGAAAAAGCGTTCGATGATCATTGGGTGAAATTAAGTCCTTTCGATCCTGTAAAGCTTGAACATATCGTTGCATGCCAAAGTGTAAAGTCGATATAAAGTTTTGCTCTCGGCTTATAAGTTGCAGTAAAAAACGTCTTCGATTATCGGTAACCGGTACAATCGACTGTAATATTAATTAAAATTACATAATATATATTATATATAGAAAGTCTGCTTTATGGACAACTGAGTATTGTTTTTAGCAATTAAAAGTTCAACTAAAAACGTATAAAATTTTAAATAAAACACAAAATTTAAGCGATTTGTCAAATTTTTATTGTCTTTTTAGTATAAAATTATAAAGGCATGTTTGTGATTAAAACTAATGAAAAGTAAATTAATAAAATTAATAACATATATTATAATAAATATTAAAAAATAAATAATTTTGTACAATTTTGGCCGAAAGTTTTAATAAATAATAAAATTACAAGAATGAAATTATTTTATTTTTTATAATGAATTAAATTAAATTTAATAAACAACATTGATGTGATTTTAATGAATTATTTTTTTATTTTCATAAAGAATTATGATTTTGATGACTATATAAATTGTAAGAAATTTGAAAATTTTTATTTTATTTAGGTTTGTTTTTATATTTGTCAAAGATTTTTTTTACTTTTTTTTAATTAAAAAGATTGTGTTGTGTTAGTAAAAAATTTAAATTTGTTTATCACAATCATATGTTATTTAGGGTGAATTTAAAATTAATGGTATAACGTATATAACCATTAATAATATATTAGTATTAAAAAATGAAATTATATATTTATTAAAAGAATGTTAATTTAGTAATGTTATTGTTAAGAGTGTATGTTCAAATATATCTTGGAGTACATTAATAAAATAGACTAAGACTTAAAATGATCAAGTTTTATTAAGTATTTTCTTAGAATTCAATACCCTCAACAGACTAATTGTAATTGAAATACTACGAAAAATATTTATATTTATCAGTATTTTTGAATGAAAGTATTTTAATAAGTTTTTTTTTATTTATTACAACAAAAGAAATCTTTAATTCTGTTTATATTCCTCCTAACTTTATTCTTTATACAAATAAACTAGTTCAGACACAAATCAATTAGTTCAGACACAAACCAATGATGTCTGGCACAAAACTTGTGCTAATTTATTGTACTATTATATTAATCACTATTAACCACAATATTAATTATTTTTTCAAATCTTTTAAGACAATTTAACTATGACGCTAAGCTTATAATGCTTTATGTTAAGATTATTATTTTGAGTTGTGAAGTGGAAAATACTTCTACTAAGTCATATCGCTCTTTTTGACAGATATTGAAATTGTGTTGGCAAAGCGGTTATAGTCTAGAAGAAATATACTCGAAATAATGAAGTTTGAAAGAAGTATTATACATAGTTCAACTGTAAATCAAAATATTGTTTATATATGTATGCATTAATATATGGTGTGTTCGATATATACGTTTCTAACAGACTAGTGAATAAAACAGTATCATTGACTTAAATTGCTATAAAGTTTGTTTTGAAATTAAAGAAAATTGTATTCTGTGAGTAGAAGTTGTCTTGATTTAAATTGAAAATTAAAAAGTTATTTTTCTTTTTATTAAAAAATAGTTTCAACTAAGAAAATAGTCTCTTTCTTCAAGACTTTAGTTAAATTTTGAAAATTAAAGTTAATATTAAAAAAGTAATGTTTAATCAGCAGTGAATAAGAAAATGTGGCAACGCTATGTTGATTAAAGAGGTAGGCATATATAATAACAAGTATTATTAGTTAACTATAAAAGCTAGCTTATTATTCTATGGTCATACTAATGTTATTGTAGTGATCGGCAGGAATCTACAAAAGCAGATAACTTTAAAGAAATTACAAAGACGTATACTTGGTTTTGGATGTGAATTGGTAATGGTAGAGTGGATTTGGATTAATATGGCGTTTTTTTAAAAATGACTATACAAGCAACTTTATAGTAATTTACCCAGCTGAAAGGGATTATTTAGGAGCTCTCTCAAATGGGACTATACAAGCAACTTCATAATAATTTACCCAGCTGTGATAAATGTACTACAAATGTAAGATTGAGTAAAAGATTTCTTAAAAATTATATATTTAATAGATTTGAATGTATTTCTGTTCATCTTATTCAATAATTCTAAGTTTATTGAATTAACCGATATTATTTGATTCTAAAGTTAAATCAAATTTTTCACTTGGGCTTGTGTCTCTACTATATACAACATACAGTAAATGATGTATATACTTCAACTTTAAGTAGTTTAATATGTTTTAATATTTTATTATTATTATTAAATTATTAATTTTTTATTTTAATTGAAAATTAGTAATAATTTTTATTTTATATTTATGATTAAGTTGTTTCATATTAAATCGGTTGTTAATGTAATATTATTATAATTTTACAGTTTAAATAATATTTTACAATATTAATATACATTTTATTATTGAAGGTATTTTATTTTACTATATTTTTCTTTGAGTTATGTTTCATAAATTTTATTTTATTAAAAGTTTTCACTATACATTTCAATAATATATAGTGAAAACTCTTTGTATGGCCACTCATATTGAACGATATTTCATTTGAGTGTACAATTTCTATAAATTCAATTTTTTTTGTCATTATTTGGTTACTTAATCTACAAAAGGAGACGAGACACTGCTCTTGTAGCTACAAAAGTTGCCTATTGGTGAGTGTCCATCAAAACAGTTTCCAATAAATGACAATTTTTAATATTGAAAAATACATTATTTAACCAAAAAAGAAATTTCATGTAAATTACTTTTTTTTACTGTTGTCTTCAACATAAAATGTAATTTAATAAAAAGTTTGTAGGTAAATGAAGTTTATGTATATATGAAAATATTTGCATTTTTCTTATCCATCAGTTAAATTAAAAATATGCATATAAAAAATTAATTTCATTTATGTCATTAGGTAGAAGAGCTAATTTCCATAGAAATCAGGGATAAATTTTTTTTTATTTTTCTGATATTAATAAAAAGTTTTATAACATAATAGCAAAAAAGTGCGTTATTAAATGTTTGTGTAATTATTAAAAAAAAAATATAAAAAAGCAGCCAAAAACATAAACTTAATTAAAACTTAACATCATTTAATATGTATTACAAAAATAACAAAAAAAATCTATAATAGCGATGAAATAAATAAATTCGTTCACTCTGCGAGTTTTTCGTTCATAATATCATTCTTCTTAAAATTGCTTGTATCAAACAATCACACCTTTGCCTACCTCTTTACTAAATGTTACTTGTGGCAAGTTTAAGCGCCTCTTAGCTGCTTCAATCGATGATGAAGTGCCGCCCGAACAAGCGGTGGATGGACGCACATTGGCAGCAACACTAGCAACACTTGGTGGTAAAGGTGCTGTACGACGGAATGGTGTTATCGTAGCTGCTGCTGCAAGTGCAGCCGCGGTAGCTGTAGTGGTTGTCGACTGCAATTCATCGCTTGCATAATTACTAGCTGCACTAGCAACACGTGATGTTTTGCCATTCATCAGTACAGTGGTAGCATTCGAACGACCAGTAAAACTAAGTGCTGGAGCAACTGCACCACCAGAACCGGACCTTCTGAAAATCTCCAATGTCAGGGTGGAACCCTGCGATCGTATTAAATTCAGAACATCAGCTTCTGGCATTGTGACAACATTATGTTTATCGACAAATATAACATAATCACCAGGCAATATGCCACTACGGTCAGCCGATAGACCAGATTCAATTTTTTCAACACGTGGCGGATGTGTCCAAACAATTGAAAAACCAAAACCACGTTCAGCGGTGCGTGTTAATTTCTTTGTCATGGTAAACGGAGTACGACCAATAGGTTTTCCTGTTAAAGATAGACGTCGCCCAGAGTTAGAAGACTGTGTGCCGGCGGCATTATTATTGGCACCAGTGGTTGTATTCGTTGTGGTGTCTGTGGGCGGATCCAATTCAAGAAAACGTAAAAATAAATTTTCATCTGCGTCACGTTGGTGTAAAGCTTTTTTACTTAACACCATCGGTTGATCTGCCCCTGCCGCCTGTGCCATACTATCAATACTTATGACGTCCTCATCACTTTTCTGGCGTATTAGTGTGGACATGGTGTGCTCGTTTTGTTGTTGTTGATGAATGTGAGTGATAGTCGTGGTTATGGTCGTCGGTGTGGTTGCAGTTTGCAATTGCACCGCCGGTTGTGGATTATTTAGACATGCCTGCGATTGTAGTTTATAGGAACCATTTATTGGTTGATGAAGTAACGACTGAAGAGGAAAAGACATACATCCTAGAAACTCGCTGCGTCTAAAATGATAAGAAAGAAAAATAAGTTAGTATAAAAAAATAAACAAGGAAACTATAACAAAAAAACTTTTATAATTTTACTTAAATTCGAAATATATTTATAATTTTGTGGTTTAGTGAAAATAGAGCTTATTCTTTAATTTGAATTATAATTTTATTATTTGTTTAATGTTATTAAAAATATTCTCATTAGTTTTCTTTGTTTACAATTATTATTTAATATAAAAAATTACTAAATTCAGAGCTACATTGCATATTGTGAATTAATTTTCAATATAAAAATAAGGATTTAATTAGAATAACTGCTTAATTATTTTTAATTAATGTTAAAATAAATATTTTATTTCATAATTAACTGTAAAAATGTAATTATGATTTTTACAGCAGTTGACTAAAATAAACATATACTCGTAAGTAAAATAATTTTTTGTATAATCAAATTAATTTATTTTTCCAGTTCAGTTTTTTATTTGTATATCTTATGCATATTTATTTATTATTATTTTTTTAAATTTATTTATTTTATTTTTCTACATTATATTTTATTTGTTATACATAATATTTTTTCCATACAGTTTGTTATATGTTTCTTTATTTTTTTTATTATTATTTTGATTTCATATTGTTTATTTTACTTAATCACATTATATATCTTTTTTTATACATAATATAATTTTTTCTGTACATATATATATATATATTGTATTTCAGTTGCAAGTATATTTTGTGATATTTTTTAGTCATTCGATTTACAATAATATGAGATACGTGCCAAAATGAACCAATAAATTTTGCAAATAACTTGTCGTCTCTTAACGTTCAATAAAGTCAAATGAAAATCACAGTTAAATAACTATTATTATCTTTCATTTTATGCTGTGCCAATGTAACAAAAAAAGATACATAAACCAGATAAGCCAAAAATGTGCCAAAGTGGGCGTCAATAACATAAGCAGAATGTTCTTCTATGTACCATAAAAGTTTGGCCAACTGCTGACAGTATTATGTGCCACAAGCGACACCAGACGCGTCATAGACTTATAAAATGATGGCTCCAGTCTAGTCAAATGTGTGCATTTTATATTTAAGTTTTATTTTTCTGGAATATATAATATATACTTCACTTGGATTTTAATAGCAAAGCTATAAAAAACGTTACTAATTTTTGAGTGATGTAAGTAGGAGGATAGAGTTAAAAACTTTGTCATATTAAGTTGAAAGATTTGTCAGCAGTATCTACTTTATTATATAAATACAAGTTTTTTTGTTGGATTTTAATGTAGTTTTAGTTTTATTAATATACAAGTATAAAAACAGGATCAGAGTTTATGTTTTAGAAGTAAAAAATATTCCTCTTCTTCATGGTTCAAAAAATTTATTACTAACAGATTACAGTTATGACGAAACATGTAAATGAGGACTGAAGAAGATGAATATATATATATGAAACCATATTTTCATTAGGAAATACGTTGAACGGGTTTATAACTTTAGAATATTAAATTAGTATGATATATATATAATATATATATATAGAATTTTAATACTGTTAAGTTATATATAAAAAATTTGAATTTTTTAAAATTTACATCTTACACTTTTTTGAGACATAAAATATCTTGTTGTAAAATACCAATTTATTAAATGTGTATATTTGCATGCTTAATAGTATATATGAAAAAAGTAAAAATATGTTTTATCGTTACTTGTAATATTCAAGTTCTTACACAATTTTTAAACTACAATAAGTCAATAAATGAGATAATCAAGTTTTGATACAATGCATGTACAACAATAATTTCTTATATTAAATGTGAAAAATTGTCAAAAAATAGTGATATCATTGACCATCGCCACTGAGATACGTCATGCCCAAAATTATTTGGTTATTTTTTTCAATTCATGAATGGATATACAACAAATATTTGCTAATATTTTAAATTATGTAAGAAAGAAAAGTTTGATTTTCATAACTATACAAGATAAATTTGCTCTATTGACAAGATATATACATTAGTACACTAGTGCATATATGAAGCAATAACAAAAAGTAGTAACTCTGTCACCAATTTGCAATATTGATGTAATATTGAAATACACAATATGGAAATAGTTTAAGAATAGTGATATCACTAACCGTCAACGATGAGATAACCCACATACTCAGAGACAAATTTATTTGGTATATTCGTTTTTAAATTTTGAAAAAAATAAAATAAATATTTACATTATAATCATCAATTTGAGTTGCGGAATAATAAAGGTATTGAATTTCAATAACCATACTTTAATAAGTTTACTATTGATATTATAAATATTTTATATATGTATGGAGCATTACCAAGAAATAATACAGAGAGTCGGTTGAATGCTTAGAAAATTGTAAACTATTAATAAAATTAATACTTTTGTAATTCTTTGTCTAGCATTTAATCAATTTAATTAAACACTTAAACAGAATTATTATTTTTTCATCATTTATTAAGTTCGTGGAATTATTGTGTCTGGTAATTAATATAATACTACGTACAAAACATCAGTCCTTACATGCCTTACTAACTCTTAAAATTGCTCTAACTGACAGTTACTTTAAGAGCTTTCGAAATCATTTATTTTTCTATTATAACATTTTTTCCTATTGAAATAAATTCTTTATATCGTGCAGCATCTGAAAAACTTCTTTTCATAAGTAGTTATTTTACGCATTTACATATTTGAGTTGCTTCAATCATTAACTTTTTCCATTTTCCATTTTCCATTTCCTAGAATACTATGAAAACGCTCATATATAAGTCATAAGAATACATAATTGTTTTGTTGGCAAGATAAAAGATATTGTCGCTGACAAACAACTTTATGCTGTACTTAAAATGTTTTCGCAAAAGTAATATGAATGTTTTATTTTTCTACGTCTACGTCATTTTAGTTGAAAGTTTTTCTTTTAAAACAAAGAAAATTCTCAAGGAAATAGAATTACACATTAAAATGCGCAACATGACGTATGCACAGCATTAATAATGCTGAAATATGAAAATGTTACGCATACGACATGTTGTACTTAAGCTCTGCTAATTCCGTTTTGTGTAGAGTTATGCAATTCATTTTTCCTATTTAGTATTCAAATGTTCCACTAATGGATATAATTTTTTTTAAATACATTTGAAAGCAAATTTTGTATATATGCTAAGAACTTAAAGTATGTAAGAAGAGAGTATATAAAATATTATACAATATATTAATTTTAGTAAAATAATAATTATGTGTGGCGGGGCTACGTAGCGTATGAGTGACAATTTTCAATTTTCGGTTGTTTTAAATTATTAATATGCATAGTACGCACTATGTACTATGGTGCATAATACATAGTAGACAATATTATGTATTGTGTGATGTATACACTATGTAGTGTGTGATTTCAGTATGAGAAAAATTAATTTTTTTTAGTTAGAAGCACTTGTGGGTAGAAAGTATTTGGCATACCTACATTATTCTTTTAATAACGATAAGTTTCATTATTCTAAACTTAATTTTATAATATAGCTTACGTTAAAGTATAGTAAATTGATTAAATAATTAGGTAAATAAACGTCAGCAATAAATTTTAGTAATTGTTATAAATTTTACTACACTGAAATCTTTTCAATTTATTTAAAATTGCTATATTTCAATATATTTATTAAAGAAACAATTTTATAGAAATGATAATTAAATAAATATTTATTTAAGAAACCATTTAATAAAAATGGTAATTAAATAAATATTTATTAAAGAAACCATTTAAGTAAAAAGTTACTTAATTTATTTTATGTTGACATAAAATTTTAGTAATCAATTTGTAACCGATTTCGCAAAGTATTTGTAACTGTTTTAATGCATAATAGTTATATAAATGTATTGACTTAATTTAAATAATTATCACTTATGATATTAATTGATATATTTTTATTTATTATTGCTTACTAATTGATATAATATCTCACTCAAAAATCTCATTTTCATAAACTACACTAAATCAAATTATTTTTAAAATAATTCCTTTAATATATTTATGAAATTTTAGAATTCTGAATAATACGTTTATAGAATTTCAGAACCAATATGCAGATGCATTCATATTGTAATGTAATTTGTTGCAATTAAAATGAAAAACAAAAACTAGATTCACACTCACATTCTAGATGCAATCAATCTATATATTAATTTTAACAATGCCTTAAATATATTTATCAAATTTTGAAACTATTTACTAATTGCCATTAAGTATAAGAATGAAATTCAATGCAATGCAATTTGCCAATTACACCAATTTAAATTTTATCAATAAATAAAACCACAAGAAAATTTTTGTAAAAAAACAGCAACAAAAAAAAAAAAGAAACAAAAATGTAACTTAATAATGTAATAGAAGGAAATGCATACTTAGCACAAACCATATAAATCACTTCACAAACGCTTACATGTAACCCTGCCCCGCATGTTGTATTACACAGATTAAATTTAATTTTTTCCCTTCAATCTCGTTCCACGATTAAAGAGATTTAGTATGGTTAGTGACATTGATTGATAAACTATAAGCACATTTTAACGTACATAAGAATGCTTTCTATGTTGCCCAAATATACGAGTATGGAACCACAAGTATTTTCCAGAAATTTCAACAAAAGGTAAAAGAACAAAAAGTCTTCAATAAATTTTAGAAAGACAGTTTGAGGTGAAGGATGATAATACCTTAAAATTCACTTGTTTTAAAAGACATTTTGAAACTTTTAAGTCTCATTACAACAAACTGTCATTCACTTTAGTGTTTCTATATAAAAATTTTGCTATACCTTTTTTATTTGGTTTATGTTCTTTAATTAAATCGCTTTGTGTATGTTTTACAACACAGTTTGATTGATTTTTATTGTGTTTCTTGATTGATAACATCTGTTTACTAATGTAATTAATATTGTAAAATAATTTAAAACGATTTTGTGTGATGAAATATAAGCAATTAAGCA